ATGCAACCAAACAAAAGGCCACAACACCTTCGATTTCACAAATACTGTTTATTCGGCTATTAAAAGCGCAAATTTCAGGTACATAAATAAATCGTAAATAATATGTCAAGGAATCCTATGATATGGCATTGTCGTGACACCTTAAAGAGATGGAAAAGTAAAAACAGCAAATTTCTTCTGTATTTAGCTCAGTAATATAGACTTTTGTGGTCAGCAGAGAGGCGTCAAAAAGTACTCCAACCTACAGTATTGTCTAAAAACATAAGCTAAAGAAGATATACTAGTTACAGAATACATAACTCTCCAGGATAGCTCACTTTTGCAATATTGACTTAGGCTTGCAGGAATTCCACTCATAAACTAGTCTTAGTCTTTAACAAAATAGGATCATTATTTTTCATCCGAATAATGACGATGATACTAGCACATGATTCTAAAGGACTCTTGGCCTGCTTTTAAGATCAGAAAATGTTGAATTCAAAACTCCATTTTATGATTTCATAAAGAAAATGTCATTGGATTTTTAAAAATGGGTGGTAAAATCGAAGAGTGATTTTACAAAAATTGACGATATATTTTCATTAAATTTAATACATTAGAAGGATGACTATTTTCAAATGCACATCATAATAATTATGATTGTGTTTTATTTGGTTTAAAACATTTAATAGAAATAGTTTGACCTTGGTTTTGCAACTTGGTAATTATGAAAGCAAGATCTAGAGGGACGCACCTTGTCCGGAGTCCATATAATGCATGATAGTTTTGAAGTCAGTTCGCAGCCTTGATACATTCCCAGACGTTTGACCGACATCGTCACTGAATCTTGCTAGTCTTAGCACCATATTAAAACTCGCAAAACAGGCAAATGAAGTCGATCCTTTAAGCACTTGGCTGCTGAACAATTATGGTATCCCTTTGTCTGTCCTAGTCAATTTGTCCATCCTATACCCTCGTAGCACCCCTTCGCTATCACAGTTTTTAACTTGCTAACAACTAGTTAGGCAACAATTGGTCAAAGGATTGACTTCATTTGTCTATTGGTGTGTTGTAGTGTGGTGCTAAGAAAGCAAAGCTCCCTGACGATGCCGTCTGGGAATGTCCCAAGTCCACGGTCCGACTCTTGAAACTATCATGAATAATATGGACTCCGAGCAAGTTGTGTTCACCTCGGTCTTTATGTCAAAACGAGCAAATTGAGAAAACAAGGTCAAACAACATATATGCAGCGAAAGGAGACCACGACTATACTAAGGGCCTAACCATCTAGGTCGTTATACCTTAGACATAGTTAAGTTAGCTCTTATGAAAAAGTTAGAACAGTTTATAAACTAGAAGGAATGGTTATTATGATCTCTTTGAGGCAAATACTGCAATATGCCTGACAATTATGCATATTTTTGCTTATCCCAAACGCTTTCCTAAGAAAGGTACAAAAATTGGCCTTCCTAATGATGAAAGGTAAACAGGAAATTATGACCTTTTCTTATTCAATATGCCGAAGTAAAATAAAATTTAATTAGGCATATAATAGTGGCAGACTCTTGGTAGTCAAACTGCTCTGAGTAGAATAGACACATAAGAGCATCGATTGTGACTACCCTTGAAATCGCTTTTTATAAGTGTCCAGGAAGCAACTATACTGATTAGTTGAACTATTTTCTAGGCAATTAGCCTCTGCTTTTCCGTTAACTAACCAGGAACACCGACCCTGTGGGAGGATATAGCCAATATGATGCACCCATTTGCCGGTTTCCGCCAGTTCTTTGACTGGCAGGGGCTCATATTCTGGATTCATGGAATACCGTTGACGATCTTGTCCCCCACCTTCATCATCTTCATCTTCCTCCTCTTCTTCCTCATCATCGCCACCAAACATATAGAATCCCTCAGGTGAAATCTGTGTTGTAGCACTGATTCGAGCTATCTGAGCACGTAAGTAGTTCGCCTCATTCCCTGGAAAAGGTGGGTAACATTTCACCACGTTGTCCAACATACCGGTAAACATGTGCTTTATCTAAAAATGAAAATATCACATTTATGAGAATTAGCTTGGTTTGATTAATATTGTAAGATATCGTTGTTGTTAAGACTTTCGTTTGGTATAAAAATACATTATGAAAGATTCGTTAGCTCATCTCACCGGAAGACAACGGCCGATTCTCATTGTTATGCCGTAGTTCGTACTTATTTCGACGTTCAGGTTGAGGCAGTCCGCGAGACATGACCTCTTCATTTCGGGTGAAACCAGGCTGGACCTCCGTCCATCCTATGACGGA